GGTGGAGAAGGTGAGGGGGCCTGGGCATGGCGGCTCCAACAAAGCAGGTCCTGGGATCCGGGCACAGAACGGCTGGGGCAGGGGCCGGGGCCAGAACCCCCTGTGTGTGGGTGCCACGGGACGAGGGGGCATCGTTCCTTCCCAGCCGTGAGGGTCCTGGGACAGCAGCACCAGGAGGCGTCCTCTCGCCCTTTGGGGAAGGGCAGAGGGAGAAAGGTGCTGGTGGCAGCACAGGGGGCGCCCTTGGCCGGGATGTTGAGACAGCCTGTCCAGCTCCCTGACCCTCCCCTCTGGGGCCCTCAGTACCTGCGACAGTTCTCCACCCTGGACCTGATGGCCCCCGTGCTGGGGGTTGCCCCCGAGCACACCAGACAGCTGCTGCTGGACGGACCTGTGCGCGTAAAGGAGGGGCGAGAAGGGAAGGTGAGGGTGCCCAGCGGCTTGCAGGGGTGTGGGGAGGATCTGCGGGGGGAGGGAGCCATGGTGGGGGAAGGGCCAGGGACAGAAACACGGACAGGGCACAAGAGAGGTGTGTGTGTCGGGACAAGGGCACGGTTCTGGCCGAGCTCCGGTTGCATGACCCCGAGCCAACCACTTTCCCCACCTCTAAGGCAAGAGATGGGACCCACAGACACCGCTTCCCGCTCTGGCATCCTGGCCCTGCGCGTGTCCCTAGGGCGCTTGTGCCCACACTGAGCCCCGCTCCCCAGCCCGCCCTGCCCCGGCTCAGCTGACCCCGCCTCTCTCCCCATGCCTCCGCCCCCAGCTGGACGTGCACCTGTTCCTCTTCTCTGATGTCCTCCTGGTGACCAAGCCCCAGCGCAAGGCGGACAAAGCCAAGGTCATCCGCCCCCCTCTCATGCTGGAGAGGCTTGTGTGCCAACCCCTGCGAGACCCAAGTATGTGTCTCTGGCAGGAAGCCTTGGCTTCTCCCTGCCTCCGGGAGGAGCGGGGATGGGGGTCGAGTAAGGTCTCGCCCTTGACCAGACCCTTCCCCTACCCCCAGGCAGCTTCCTGGTGATCCATCTCACCGAATTCCAGTGCGTGTCCAGCGCCCTCACTGTGCACTGCCCCAGCGCCACGGTCTGTACCCGGTGGCTGCAGAAGACCAAGCAGGCCCAGGTATGGGAAGGCAGGCGTGGGAGGGCTACTTAGGGGTGGGGGAGAAAAGACCCGGGGGACTCAGACTCACACTGGACCATCAGCCCCCAGGCATGTCCTCCAGAGGGACACTTAAGAGGACAGAAAAAGCCTTTGATTAGGTACTGTGCCAGCCGCCCAAGACCTAGCCCCGCCAAAGATCTGTACACCCCAAAACTAGATTTCATCTTTTTTTTTTTCAAGTTGCCGTTCTCACCCTGTCGCCCAGGCTGGAGGGTAGTGGCACATTCATGGCCACCGCAGCCTCGACCTGCTGGGCTCAGGCAATCCTTCTGCCTCAGCCTTCCAAGTAGCTGGAACTACATGCACGCGCCACCATGCCCGGCTAATTTTTTGATTTATTGTAGAGAAGAGTTCTTGCCGAGTTGCCCAGGCTGGTCCCAAACCCGCAGGCTCAGGCAGTCCTCTCACATCAGTCTCCCAAAGTGCTGGGATCATAGGCGTGAGCCACCGCGCCCGGCCGGCTTCATCTTCTATTCACAGACATTTATGGGGCACTCTCTGGGTACAGGCACCAGGTCTAGGTGCTAGGGAATCATTGGCAAAGGATAAACACTCCTCCTGTCCTCGAGGTGTGGGTACTGCAACCTAGTTAGTCATTAGAATGCAAATAATTGAAACAGTATGTGGAATGGAACCAGGACAGAGAAGGGAGCAGTGTGTCATCCGGTGGGTCCATTAAGGCGGGCGTCCCCAAACCCTGGGCCGTGGACCAAGCCCAGCCTGTGGCCTGTTAGGAACCGGGCTGCACAGCAGGAGGTGAGCGGCAGGTGAGAGAGCAAAGATGCATCTGCATGTGCAGCCACCCCCCATCGCTCACGTGACCGCCTGAGCTGCTTCTGTCAGACCAGTGTTGGCGTTAGATTCTCATAGGAGCGTGAACGCTCTTGTGAACTGGGCACGCGAGGGCTTTAGGCCACCCACTCCCTAGGAGACTGCAACGCATGGTGGTCTGGGGTGGGGAGCGGCCGCAGATAGAGACGAATATTAGCAGGGAGATTTGACTGCACCTCCTCCGCCCCTCATCTGTGGAAAATCGTCTTCCACAAAACCGGTCCCTGGTGCCAAAAAGGTCGGGGACGGCTGTGTTAAGGGACACATAGGAGCTGATGTCCGAGCACCCTGGGGGACACCCAGGAGTGTACCAGGGAGTCGAGCGTGGAAGGGAAGGGCATTCCACATGGAGGAACAGAATGTGCAAAGGCCAGGATGTGGACAGGTGTGTGTGTGGAGTGAGCCGCCCACACGGCGGGCAGTTGGCATTGCCAGGGCATGAAGTTCAAGAGCTGATGCAGCAGGAGAGAGGCTGGAGAAGGCACTGCCGGATCATGCCCATCTCCAGACACCATGAGAAGGAACTTGAACTCTGTCCTGTGGCTCACATGGGGCCAATGGAGGTAGCAGGCAGGGGAGTGCCGTGGTAAAAAGCAGAGCGTGTAAAAAGCAGAGCGTGTTCAAAAGAGGACAGATTCTGATGGAGCTGTATTGGATGCCACAGGGTGGCCTGAAATGGAGCAGAAACGCATTTGCTCATAGTTCTTGGGGCCAGAAGTTCAAAATCAAGGTGCTGGCAGAACTGAGTTCCCACGAGGTTCTCAGGGAGAATCTGCCCTCGCCTCTTCCAGCGTCCAGGGTGCTAGGTGCTCTTTGGCTTGTGGCAGCAAAACTCCAATCTCCTCTTCTGTCCTCCCATGGCCTTCCTCTCTGTCTCTGTGCCCAAATCTCCCTCTCTTTTCTCTTACAAAGACACCAGTATGATCTCAGTGGATCTAGTAGGCTGGAAAAAAAGAAGAAGAAGAAAAATTAAAGACACCAGTATATGGCCAGGCTCGGTGGCTCAGCCTGTCATCCCAGCACTTTGGGAGGCCGAGGCGAGAGGATCGCCTGAGCCCATGGGTTTGAGACCCACCCGGGTAACTTGGAGAGACCTTGTCTCTACAATAAATCAAAAAAAAAATTAGCCGGGTGTGGTGGCGCGCGCCTGTAGTTCCAGCTACTTGGAAGGCCGAGGCGGAAGGATCGCCGGAGCCCAGCAGGTCGAGGCTGCAGTGACCGGGAGCGTGCTGCTGCCCTCCAGCCTGAGTGACAAAGTGAGACTCCAACTAAAAAAAAAAAAAGACACCATTATCCCATTTGGAGCCCACCCTAAATGCAGGTGGTTCGCATCCTGAGACCCTTAGGAGCTTTGTACATCTGCAAAGACACTCTTTTTCCAAATAAGGACGCAGTCACAGGCTTTGAGGGCTAGGGCTTAGACATCTCTTTTCAGGGGGCCGCCATTCAGTCCACTCAGGAGCCGAATAGCCAAAGAAAGGAGAGAACCTGAGTTGGGTTTTTTCTTTTCTTTTTCTTTTTTTTTGAGTTGGAGTCTCACTCTGTCGCCCAGGCTGGAGTGCAGTGGCACGCTCACGGCCACCCTAGCATTGATCCGTTGGGCTCCGACAATCCTTTGGCCTAAGCCTTCCAAGTAGCTAGAACTACAGGCGCACGCCACCCTGCCCAGCTAATTTTTGGCTTTGATTGTGGAGACAAGGTCTCGCCAAGTTGCCTGGGTTGCAGCCCATCCACTCACCTCGGCCTCCCAAGGTGCTGGGATGACAGGCTGAGCCAACGAACCTAGCCAAGTTGGACTTTTAAGGATGGGAAAGGCCAGAAGAAGCAGAATCAGAGGAGCAATTGGGCTGGACTTATCCTGGGAACAGTGACCACTTCTGTCTGAGTCTGGAGCACAGTGTGGGTGTGAGCCAGTGGGGACAGGCCGGGTCCTACAGGCCCCCAGGCTGATGCAGAAAGTGGCCAAGATGGGACTGGGTTGATTAGGGTGGACGAGAGAGAGCCACTGTGAAATCTTAAACCAGGGAACGGCACGGCAAAGTCAGTGTGCTTTGTCTTGAACCGGGCTTTTGGTAAACCAGGTGGCAGTGTGATGTTGGAGGGTGGGCGGGAGGAGGGAGTGACTGGCGGCGGGAGGGTTGCTACACCAGTTTGGGTGTGGAACGCTGAGGTCTAGCGCCATGGCAAAAAGAAAGCAAAAACCAAGGAGAAGAAAGGAACTAAAGAAAGCGGAAGAGACAGGTGAGCTTCAAGGAGGCGGTGGCTCTGAATGTAGAACAATGTAGGCCCAGTCACCAGTGCTCCAGGTACTGGCCGTGTGAGCCTGGACACTCTAGGGGACCTCACTCAGCTATGGTTTCTTCTGCAGCAAAACGGATGTAAACGATAACAGTACCTGCCTCCTTGGGCAGAGTGGAAGAAACATTCCCATCAGGCACGCAGACTGGTGCCAGCACTTGGCTCAGAAAGACACCCAAGGACAAAGAGGAGGGTTTAGCCTCCCGAGGTTTCTGCTTGGAAGGCTATGTGGGCAACGGACAGGATCATTGGAGAGGAAAACCTGTTTGTTTAGTCGTTGCTTCCTGGGAGAAGTGGAAGCCAGGGGAAGAGTATTTCCTTTCCTTTTATTTATTTTTTTATTGATTATTTAGAGTCAGAGTCTCGCTCTATCGCCCAGGCTGAAGTGCATGATCACGGCCACCACAGCCTTGGCCTGCTGGGCTCAGGTGATCCTTCCGCCTCAACCTCCCAAGTAGCCGAAACCACAGGCGCACGCCACCATGCCTGGCGAATTTTTGATTTGTTGTAGAATGAAGTCTGGCCAAGTTGCCCAGGCTGGTCTCAAACTCCTGGGCTCAGGCAGTCCTCTCACCTCCGCCTCTCAAAGTGCTGGGATGACAGGCATGAGCCACCAGCCCAGCCATATTTCATTTTAAACAGGAGCCCTCTGAAATTGAGGCAGGCAAGATATAGCCAAGCAGAGATGTCTTCGAGGCTTTAGGAAATAGGGAAACAAAGGCCTGGTATTCAGGTGAGAAGTGAGGAAGACAGAACCTCAAGGTCTTGTGTCCAGCCTCTGGGGGCTGTGGCTTCCTTGGATCCCTGGGCAAGATGGCGGCAGTTCTCAGGAAGCCGAAGGTGGGGGGGTGGAGGGGCAGGGCTTTTGTGGAGTGGGTGGTCTCCCATCTGCCCTGCTCCCAGGGCACGTAATCCCATCTCTGGACGGCTGGGGCTTCTTTCCACCTCCTCTGCCCAAGCCTAGACACACCTTCCACCGGGCTGGACCAACTGGCAAGTAATCTCATTCTCATGGCTCATCATGAAGCCTGGCGGCGGGGGCGGTGAGGACAAGAGCATCCATGTCCCTGGAGCCCCACCTGCCCACGAAGGCCTGTGCTGTTGGCCTGGCTGGCAGGCAGCCTCTCTTCTTGACCACCCCACGCTCAGAACGTTCTCTTCCTTTGGTTCCGAGAAAACATCCCTACCTTCACCTTCTCTCTTTAGAACTGGGGGTGAGGGCGGGGAGCACTAAAAGCTGCTGGTATTTTCCCAGAAAATAACTTCACCGCTGGTAGGCTCAGTCCAGGCAGTCCAGGCTATCAGGAATGGTCTACAAGGATCTTATAACCAAGATGGCACTGAGGCTCTCGACAAACAAAGCAGCCTGAAACTTCCAGACTCGTTCTACTATCATCTCACATCAAATTCTCCGGGCATCTTTCTCTCCAGTGTCTCGAGTCTTTGTAAACTGTAGAGGGCAGCAGAATCCCTGCCGGTCCCCTTCAGGGGGCAACCCCCAGGGGAGACGACTGCCTTCTTCCCCTTCTTGGAGAAGTGCTGACTTAGAGACTTGGTCCTAGTGGGTTGAGCCGTGACAGCGGCCACATTTAGAGCTTCTCGAGGGAGGACAGATGGATCCTGGGGAACGCCTACATTTAGGGGCTGGGAAGAGGAAAAGGAACAGGAACAGAGCAGAAGGCACTGTTGTCAGAGTCAGAGGCCCAGAAATTAAAGCCTGGGGGAAGGCGGAGGGGGCGGCAAAGGGGGAACGGGCAAGCCGGGGTCTGAAGGAGGCCAGAGCCCTTGGCTCCGGCGTGTCATCTGGGTGCCTGGGCGACACCACACTCCTCTGAGTCTAGCCGCTGTCTGGGGGCTTGCAGTGGTGGTGGTAACTACCACGTGGGGTAGACGGGAGAACCGTCTGTCCAACGGCCTGGTACGAGGCCCAGCGCTTCATGTCATCAATAGAGAACGGGTAGTCGGTGGCGCCCGGGCAACCCTGATGCTGACTGGGGAGCTGCCTTCACGTCTGTGGCTCAGGTGGCCCGTGGGCACCTTCCAGAGACCCAGCACTGGGGGGCTCCGGGAGGGGAGCTGGTGGATTTGAGAGCTGCCCCAGAAGCCCGGAGGGGAGGCATTTCCTCTCCACCCAACAAAGAAAGAAGAATCCTGCCGGCCGGAGTTGCGGGTGGCGGGTTGCCTCCTTATTCCCAGTTTCCAAGGGAGTCACATCCTGGCTCAAGCACCAACTTCCTCCCTTTCCCGGGCACCCATATGTCTCTCCGGGCATCCGAGCTAAGAAAATCCTCCCAGGGTTGCTGCAGAGGCGCCGAGGGCCCCTTCCAAAGTCGCGCCCCTGATGCTGGCGGCTCCCCCTGCCTCCCACCTCTTCTGGGGTGGGGCGAGGGGCCAGGTGAGCGGAGGCGCTGGCATTAGGTGGTCCTCGCAGAGTGCCCCCCTTCTGATTCTTCCCTTTCATGCGACATCCCAACATTCCAGGATCCCTATTCGGGGCACCCCAAACACAAGCCTGAACTTGGGTCCCCTGGGGCACAGGGGCTCGGCATCTCAGCAAGGCAGGCCGCCCCCCACCCACCTTCCATTCTGTCCCTCACTTCACACGGAGCTGGGAGGTGAGGCCTGGGGGGGAGGGAGTCGTCCCAGGACGTGGCCCTGACGTGGTGTCCTGTGTCCGGGCCCCAAGCCCAGCTCTGGCCGTCAGACCGAGTCTCGCGAGGCTGCCAGGGACCCTGGCTCTGCTGCCATCCTTGGAACTGAGTGATGGGAGAGCCAGGGAAGAAGAAACGGGAATAGACGCCCCGTCCTATTCCTGTGCATCCCTTTCTCCTCCGTGTCTCCTGTGTTTCTGCCTCGTGTGGAGAGATCAGAAGTCTTTAACAAGCACCATGGTGTGGGCATCAGCCATTCAGAACGGAGCATTGTTGGGGGGACTCCTTGAGGTCCTCTGCTGCGCCTGATGTTCTTCTAGTCGCTGGACCGTGGGGGTGGGGATGCCTGGGAGGGGGTGGGGAGGCCCGGGAAGCGCAGAAGCACTTCACTATTTTCACAATGATACCGCCGAGAGCACTGAGATCAGCACCATCCACAGCAGCCGCTGTCGCCACCTCCCTTTCGCTCAGCCTCCGGCTACGACCTCTCCTGGGTTCTGCTGCCTTCCCTCCCCCTCACTCTCCCAAGTTCACTCTTTATCCTTCAAGGCTGCCCCTGAAAAGCAGCGAGTCACTGAACTAAGACTCAAGCACGAAGCCCAGTCCTGGCTCAGCTTCTCACTGCCTGTGCGAACTCTGGCCGGGCACTTCACCTCCCTGTCTAGTTTTCTCATCTGTAAAATGGGCTACTCTCCGTGCTTTCCACACTACAGGGCAATGGCGTGTATCCAGGGGCCACGCATGCGTGCAAGTGCTTCAAAATCACCTCTCAGCCAGGCGTGATGGCTCATGCCTGTGATCCCAGCACTTTGGGAGGCTGAGGCGGAAAGATCACCTGAGCCCAGCAGGTCGAGGCTGCAGGGGCCGTGTGTGTGCCACTGCACTTCAGCCTGGGCGAGAGTGGGACTTCGATTCAGAAAAGAAAAAAGCAATCACTTCTCAGACAGCACTGTTTTCATCTGATGGCCTCTGTGTGAAAACATGGAGGAAGACAGACAGCGGAATGTGTCCTCTCCTTCTCCTCGGGGGGACAGTCTTGCTTTCATTCCTCTGAAGGACAGCAGAGTCCTTAGCCGGGGGCAACGCCTGCCCCTGTCTGCCCTCTGCCCCCCTGCTCCTGCCAGCTTCAGGGCAGATGCAAGCCCAGTACCAGTTCAGAGCACCGACACCATCACTGCCAGTCAGGAAGGGCTTCCTGAAGAAGTGGGCAGACCTGACCGAGGGTTTGCCGAGGGGGCCTGAGACGCAGGAAGAGCTACAGGTGCGAGAGGGGCAATCTGTCCGGCCCCCCCACCCCCAATACCAGCTTAGCGTGTGGTGCCACCAAATCCTGGCACACCTCCCTTGCTCGCTGCAAGATGTGCCTCTCTAGCAGTACTTAACTTAGAGTCTCCATGTCTCAGTGGTAAAGCAGGGGCAAACTCGTCCGCCTCGCAGGGTTGCTGTGAAGGTGAAATAAAGCGCCGTCTATAAAGCACTCGACAGCAAGCGCTCCGTAAAGGAGAGCTCTTACTCACGGAAGTCTCCCCGCCCCAGGACACCCTGCAGAAGCTGAAGGCAGAGGAGTACGTCCAGCAGAAGAGAGGGCTCCTGGCCCTCTATCGGGACCAGGAGAGGGAGTGCCCCAGCACCAGGCCCTCCACGCCCTCCCTGGAGGGCTCTCAGAGCAGTGCGGACGGGAGGTAAGGCCCACGTGGACCACGAGGTCTTCCAAGGTAGGCAAGCTACAGGCAGGGAGGGGGAGAGAAGGAACCCCAAAGGCTGAGAGATGGCACTAGGGTTTAGGGGGGCCGGGAACAGACAGAGGGGCGCAGGCTCAGAGGAGAGCAGGTCAGTGTCAGCCTGTGGTTCCAGCTCCTTGGAAGGCTGAGGCGGAAGGATCGCCTGAACCCAGCAGGTCGAGGCTGCGGTGGCTGTGAGTGTGCCACTGTGCTCCTGCCGGGGTGACAGAGTGAGGCTCCAACTCCAAAAGAAAAGGGGGGTGGGCTAAGATGGGTATGGATTGCTCAGCGCTGCCAGGATCCAGCTTGTCCAAATCCCCAGAGAGTGTGAAAGGTTCCCCCAGGATAACACAGCTGCGTTGCGGCATGGTTAGGAGAAATGGAGTAACGAAGAATCCCTCACTTGGACAACCTCAGGGGGAGTCGGGAAGAAACCCGGCGAAAACCTGGCCACCCGCTTGACACAAGGTCCTGGCTCGGGTGCTGTGGGTAAGCTGGCTGTGGACAAAGGACAGCCCGCCCTGTCTTAGGGGTTGAGTGTAGCCAGCAAGGTGAGAAAGACAAGCACAGCGCAACGCAAGGGCGACCCTGAAGTTTGGAGGAGTGGCCGTGTCCGGGTGTGGCGACCCAGGAGCGCGTCCCAGACTTGAACTAGAACCCTAAGCACCTGACTCTCCGTGCTATTTATTCGCTGCAGGACTTCGGAGTTCTCCACCAGCATCCCCCACCTGGTGGTGACCGAGGACACGGACGAGGACTCCCCGGCTGCTCCGGACGACACCTCGGACTCTGGCTACGGCACCCTGGTCCCGAGCTCCCCCAAGGGCTGCCGCTCCCCGCTGAGCCGGCTTCGCCAGCGGGCCCTTCGGCGGGACCCTCGTCTCAGCTTCTCCACCCTTGCCCTCCGCGCCGTTCCGCGGCGCCCCCGGCCTCCCGACCCCCAAGCTGCCCAGCGCCGAAGCGCGCCCGAACTGCCGGCAGCGACCCGCCAAGGATGGAGTCTTCCCCGGGGGGGCGCGCCGGCCTGGTCCGAGGACGAAGACGGGGCCTCAGCGGGAGCCAGCGGGG